CAGTGCCAACGTTTGATGATTCCGTTTGCCTGTGGATGGTAGGCGGTTGTTCGTAAATGGTCAATGCCGAGGATGCGCGATAGCTCGCTAAATAACCTGGATTCAAATTATCTGCCTTGGTCCGTGGAAATGCGTGCTGGAACTCCAAAGCGAGAAATCCATGTGTTTATGAGTGCTGTGGCTACTGTTTCAGCTTGGATATCCTCGATGTCGATTGCATCTGGCCATCTTGTATAGCGATCAATGATCGTGAGACAATATTTAAATTGACCAGATTGAGGCAATGGTCCAATGAGGTCTACATTGATATGTTCAAATCTGCGTGAAGGCAGAGTGTATTGTTGGGGTGGTGAATGAACGTGGCTCGTGACTTTAGATTTTTGGCAAGGGATGCAGTGTTTGACGAAGTAAGCTATATCCTTATGCATACAAGGCGACACAAAGCACTGTTTGATGAGTTTAATTGTTGATCCAACTCCTCCATGGGCAATGCCATGATCTTGCTGATAATATTTTTTCGATGTGGTACTGATATGAATGGCCGCACTGTGGAAGTAGGAAAATCGCATAAGATTGGAGTACTTAATTACGGTAAGTTGATAGAATTGATTTGAAGTGAAGTTATCTTGTAATTAAGTAGCTTTTTCAGCTCTGGACAACTTGCTTGTGAAGCAGCAATCTTATTGTAGTCGATGATGTTGGCTTCAATAGTTTCGATGCGAGAGAGTGTATCAGCAGCAATGTTATCGACACCTGCTATTTGCAGAATAGATGTCGTGAATTGCCCGATCAAATCTAGCTGTCGAAGCTGACGTGGAGAAGCTTTTTCTGATTTTGAGTATACCAATGGTTTATAGTCAGTGTAGACATAAAAAATTTTGCCTTCGAGCTTATAACGGAAATGCTCCCGGATGACAAGTGGAGACAACGAAGCTGGGGGTGATCATATAAAGCTCTCATGTGGAGATATATGAGCGATGCAAGCTTACAAAATCTCGAATTTCTTCAAGCACATAAGCAAAAGCTTCAGCTACATTACAAACGCTAGCTTTTGTCTGTTACAACGCAGGCGACATTTTTTTCGTAAACGATACATGGTGGAACTGTGTTTATTTTTTTGGTTGGTCTCATCGACCATTACATAAGTTTAGACAAAAACTGGGTAAAATTTAAACAAAACCTATTGGAATAACATAAAATTTCCATTCATCCGTATGTTTTCCAATTTAAATATAAGAACGCAAAAATTCATGGATTTGCGGATGCTTCTTGACATGCCGTGTCGCAGTGTGATAGGTCAGGAAGGCCGTGTCGCAGTGTGATTCCTAGTAATTGTACGCGGGTACATTCCTCAGTAGCATTCTGGGAATTCGGGGAATTCCCTGCTTTTGCTTTACTAGCTGATATTGAACGAAAGCACGGCAGCAGAGGCAGAGACGCTCTGCTGCTGAGAGAGGTTCGATGGTAAGATACCAAGAGTCTTGAGTAAGACAGAGATGGCTACATACACTCGACATGAGTAAGTTTACGACATGAGTGCGTAGGCTGACATGGTCAGTTGAGCTTGGGTATTTGAACCGATCGGAACTCGCTGTGCAGCCGCGTCAATCATCAGAAGTATCAACATGGATGACATACCTTTGCCGCCGACAGACATACCCCTTCCGCCGACATATATAAGTATGTATGCCACACAGAAAATGTATGTCGATATACCTTGCCTGCCTAACGAGCTCTCTGGGTGGGGTGGTAAGGGCGATGAGACGTGATATTTTATACATATGGCACATTTGTATGTAAGTGGTTACTGTTCGTGCAAGATGTAACAAAAATCTATAGTCTTTCCCTCACTGCTCGCAATCTAGGAAGTTTTTCTTAGGTGATACTTGGCGTTTATAATTAAAAAAATAACTACATTTAATAACTTCGAAAATCTTGTCTCTTTTCTCAAATATGAGTAGGCGTCTGACTCTGCCGGTAACTTGGGCGAGGAGGGACGAAATATAACAGATTCACTCCGATAAGGTGGCGTGATCTCGCCTGTGGCCGCTTCTTAGCCTATACTTCGGGATAGCGCCGATGATAAATGCGCCGAGGGCATGGCTGACGTGCGCCGAAACTTGGCCTGGGTGGTAGCCTGTTGGCCTCTCTGGCCTTTCGTTCCCTGAACCGTTGGTAGTTTGTTTATTTATTATCGTATCTTTTATTTGTTCGTTCCGTGTCGCATGTAGGTTTAAAGTTTTAAAATTTTTATATCTCGACACACCGTTTTAATTAAAGTTGCATTGTCACCAACAAAAAATTCCTCGTTATATTTTTATAGTACATATCGGCCTGGTTAGGTTTTTCACGAGTTCTTTAGTACTTTGAAACTTTAATGTGCTTTCGAGCACGGCACGCCCGCCGTCGACCGCTGACAAAATCGAACTCTCCGGCTGTACATTTGGGCAGCAACATCATAGGTGCCGAAATTCGGCACACGCATACATAGAAAGATGGTCACCGTTGCTGCCCATTTGCACAACTGCATTTTTGGGTCAACGGCCCATATGAAGGCCAAGTGCATGCGATCCACTCTCCGTCCAATTTCTTTAGGAGCGAATGATAAAATAGCTTACTTACTATACTTCTTTTGAAATTACCTAATTTGAATAAGGATGAATTAAGAACACAGAAAAACTAACAACACATTATGTTGTTTAAGATTATACAAAGTTATATAGAAATACATATCGAAGAGACGGAGCTTAGACGACTGCTCATGCAAAGGTAACATTTTAATACGGATTGCTTATCGCATTATTTATTTTATTTCCTGGCTTTAATGCATTATTATAAAACAAACAGTCTACAGCTCTTAATTGCCACGAAGGCGCACAGCAGTACTTGCTCCCATTGTCATAACCCCTGAGACAATAACGATCAGTACCGAGCGCTCGTAACATAATAATTTGCCGAAATTAACACCCATCGCAGTCACTTTATATTCTCCTCCCAAGGTACTGATAAGGGTTCTTTAAAATAATTTGTTATTCTTATTCAAGGACCAATAAGAATGCCCAGCATGCTGCAAATGCTACGGGAGGCGCTTTGAAATTGCAAGCGCCTTTTCGAAAACATATTCAAAGATTTTAACAAAATGTTATAAATATAAAAGCTTATGTTTAAGTTAAGTTATATTTTACATAATTTTACGATTGTAATGCAACCATATGCATTTATGTATATGAAACGCCTCAAATGAGGGTACACTTTTCTTTTATTTATTTATGAAGAGCAAGTGATATACAATGTATCTTATTCACTATTGACTTCTAACTCATTTTCAGAGCTTCCTTGGTGTTGTAGGTCGTCGTACCGTACATATGTACTCCTCTGTTGTGACATTTTGCTCAATGCCAGTGTTGTGTAAGAGAAACAAAACTTCGGCCAATAATTCAACATTGTTGAAAGCAACAGAAATGACTTTATTTTCGAATTTCAGTACGTTTTACTTTTTTACTTTTACTTTTTGTATATAAATGATAAGTCCCAATTTCTGCGCTCCTTTATAGAGAGAAACAAAACTTTTTAATTTCAAAATCGCCATGGCATTCAATCAAAGTTGTATTCTTCTATAAAATATGGAAACCATTTGCTCATGTGCTTAATTGAAAATTTAAGGAAGTTTTTACGTTCTGAAGTAATATTCCCGGTCCTGCTAAAATACCTGTTAAAACATTTCCTGGAAATTTTTTTTTATTTATTTGCAAACGAAAGTTCAATCGGGTATGTACTTTTTCCAACGCTTACGTGGTGATCTTTACAAATTGACAACTGGACAACTTGATTATATGGGGTGTAATACCTCCATAATCATTTTGAGGGTACCGTGGTAGGACTAAATATTATATTCGTGTATACAAAGGCATTTTGTGGCTCTGTTCATTTAGAAAAAAAAAACAACCAAGTTAGCTGTAATTCTTACAGCGGATAAATAAATAATATCGATGACAAAACGAGAGCAGCTTCAAACGTTTTCACGGGCTATCGAGCGAAACACAAAACGCAAAAGTAAAGTGTGACAGCAGTAAAAAATATTTGCAATAATTTGAAAATGTATTAAGTTATTAAATCAACTATGACTAGTGACGGAAACCTTCGTACATTTAAAACGTATGCATTTCCCACAACTAACAGTAAACGCTACTTGTTCGAAATCACATCCAGTGTTTTTGAATGTCGATGAAAACGCATCAATAATTAAAGCGTACATTCATGATACAGAAATTCGATATTACTATCGAGCATGCCTGAAATCTTTCTAGGTGTTGGCTATCATTTGTTAAGTGCAAATGAGAACTTGTGTTGAGATTGATATACTGTGAAGAAGCTGAAACTATTAGCGATTAGTTCAGGTTTAAATATCAACATACGGAGTTAACTTCATACATTTACTGAGCGGTTTGTTGTGTACACAATATTGTCAAGTATAAAGATATAAAGTAACCTAAAAACATTTATTAAAGTTCTTGATTCAAAGTGGTTTGGTGTGTGTGCTCACTATTAAAATATATTGTCACTGAAATACAACTGAATATATATAATAAATATATATATATATATAAACTATATATATAGATACAAATATACATATATACATAGGCATAGATATACATATATATTGTACATGCATTTATATATATATATATATATATATATATATATATATATAACTCATATATAGATACAAATATAAATATACACATAGATATAGATATACATATATATTGTACATGCATTTATATATATATATAAATATGTATATATATAAATACATGTACAATATATAAGTAGATCTGTATCTATGTATATATGACTGAACATAATTTGTTCATTTTACATATATCGTAAAATGTAAGTTTCGTTATATTTGTTGAACTTTGTGTTTAACTTATTTTATGAAATTAAAAGTAAGTTCGGAAATGTGTATATAAATAATTGTAATTTTAAATATTTAAGTATTTAGAATTGATTTTTCTCTTGTATTTCTTTCTCCCTCTGTGAATTTAATGAAAACCCACTTTCTGTTGGTGCGAATGGGATAAATGCTCACTTACATTAAACTATGCTTGTCGCACCGACACTGGTTACATTCGAACCTGCTTTTGCTGCCATATATACCAATACTCGCCACTATGAAACACTGGCTGTACTGCTTGCTCAAATTACTTTCCTCTTTATTGGCAGCGGTGGTGCAAAAATTGCAATTTTGGTGTACCAAAAAAAAAGGAAATCGAAAAAATCAAGCAGTGGGTGAAAATAGACGGACCAAACGAACGGCCATCAGTAAAAGAGAAAATTATTTTACTAGGCACAGTTAAGTGGATAGTTAAATATATTGGAGGTGTAAACGGAAATCTGCAACTAACCAAACCAGTGGATAATAGGCTGATGATTTTTGTGAGCAAATTTTATCTATCGCCATTCAATCCAATTAATAAGTTTTGCATTATTTATTATAGACAAAAAGAGTCAAAAGGAGGCTTATAGTTCACTGAAAAAACTGTAATAAGGCAATCGGCGTGCATCACAAACGTTGGGAATCACTGTAAAAAAGGGACACAAATACCACCGATTTGGTACGGAGTTCTAGGTTTTCAAATGCACATTCTTTCATGTGAATTAAAACCAAGAAACACTCATACTTCGCAAATTAATTAACTCGCCACAGCAGGCCAAGGCACGTAAGTGTTCCAAAAAATTTATGTAATTTTAACCAGCAGGAAAACACGGATAATCGGCGTGTACCAAAAACTTAGAATCGTATACTTTACAAAATTTGATCCTTAAAATCTGAAAACAAATCATCTTCATTTGGAAATATATTACCGGTGAATGTCCAACTAAGTCAACATTGCAGTATACGGTCTTGGCAGCAAGGGTGTTCCGGCGTACAAAAAACCAAGAGATATCGAGGAACACAGAAATTGATATATATATATATATATATATATAGAAACGTGAGTAGCTTTTAGAACATTTTTTATGAATATATTTCAAACTAACTTAAAGTACATATTTAGCTTTGAACCCAGAAATACATCAAGTTAAACAGTCCATTTTCTAACGACGTGTTAAGAAGTCCTAGTGCCACTACAAGTGCGAAAGAGATACAAATTTAAAGAAAGAACGAAACTTTCGAGAAAATTAAGATGAATGAATTAGACAGTCTAAGACAAGAAGCTGAGTCTCTAAAGAATGCGATTCGTGATGCACGAAAGGCTGCATGCGATACGTCGCTTTTGCAGGCTGCCGCTTTGCTAGAACCTATTGGACGTATACAAATGCGCACGCGACGGACGCTGCGCGGTCACTTGGCCAAAATTTATGCCATGCATTGGGGAAATGACTCCAGAAATCTTGTATCAGCCTCACAAGATGGTAAACTTATCGTTTGGGATTCGCACACTACGAATAAAGTGCATGCCATACCGCTGCGTTCTTCGTGGGTCATGACCTGTGCATACGCACCATCGGGAAGCTACGTCGCTTGCGGTGGCCTCGACAACATGTGTTCAATCTATAACTTAAAGACACGCGAAGGTAACGTACGTGTGTCCCGTGAACTGCCGGGCCATGGTGGCTATCTATCATGCTGCCGTTTCCTAGACGACAATCAAATTGTGACAAGCTCAGGAGATATGTCGTGCGGTCTTTGGGACATCGAAACTGGCTTGCAGGTTACTTCTTTTCTTGGCCATACGGGAGATGTGATGGCCCTATCCCTGGCACCGCAATGCAAAACCTTTGTCTCAGGTGCATGTGATGCGTCTGCAAAGCTATGGGACATACGAGAAGGTGTTTGCAAACAAACGTTCCCCGGGCATGAGTCTGATATCAATGCAGTTACTTTCTTCCCTAATGGACAAGCCTTTGCGACAGGATCTGACGACGCAACCTGTCGTCTCTTTGACATACGTGCCGATCAAGAATTAGCTATGTATTCACATGACAACATAATTTGTGGTATCACCTCCGTTGCGTTCTCCAAAAGCGGTCGCCTGCTATTGGCGGGGTACGATGATTTTAACTGTAATGTATGGGACACAATGAAAGCAGAGCGCTCGGGCATTCTAGCCGGCCACGATAACCGTGTTTCATGTTTGGGGGTTACTGAAAATGGTATGGCAGTAGCAACAGGATCGTGGGACTCGTTTTTGCGCGTGTGGAACTAAATATCGTGCACAACGCGTATTAATGGGTGGGGTAGGGTCAACGTGGCGGTGATTGCGTGCAGTCAGCGTTTAGCAGTAGCGACAATAACAACAGCAGCAACAAAAACAAAATCCCCTCAAATAAAGGTGAAGATACATACATATTTCGCAGCAATAACATTTTTGTGCTCTGATATCAATGGTTCCATGTTACTGTTATTTGGCGAAACGGGGACAGTTTAGTTGGACCGCTTGATGTAGTAATGATGCAACCGCGATAATGAGGATGGAACACGGCGTTAACTGCAACGTAGACCACAGCAAAAACAAGAACTTTATATACAAATTATTTATATTGCTATATACTTATTATACTTATACAACAAACCAAAACACAGACACAGCAACATACAACTAGACATACACACATACAAGTATATTATTAGTGTAAATGAAAAATACGAAACAGATCCCATACTGCGCTGTCGCTGATAGTCAGTTGTGTTTAGTCAGAATTCCGGTTAAAGCTACAGCTAAAAGTACGTAAAATTAGTTCAAATCGTCTACATGTCATATATGGGCTGAGACCTTCGCTATATAGTAAAAACAAAATGAGTGTGCACCATGTTGATTACTATGATAGCACTAGCACGACAATTATGGTAATACTACTGTAATATCCGTACATATGTATATGAATAACGGATGATTCGTCAGTCTCATTTGCCAGTCATCAAAACAAAAAATTCTTACATGACTACATACACGACAGAGAGTTGGTCATAATGAAGCAGAGTCAAATAAAATAAAAGCATTTACAAAAAAAAAAAAAAAATCTGGTAGAAAACATAAAAGCTATAAATTACAAAATGTAATTATTGAAGAAATGAAGAAAATCAGTAAACAATACACTTTATAAAACATTTTTCTTATAACGTTTAAGTCCTTAATTTATATACAAACAAAGTAAGAATGATTTAAATAACATACTTATTAGTGAAAAAAAAACTATTTACATATTTAATTGACGGCCATATAAGCTACAACAATAAATGAAATAATTAACTCTAAAACCTAAAGAAATTTATAAATGTTTAACGAAATCTTAACATATAGACTAACAGACGAAACGGTCGTGAATGTACACACTCATGCATAGCAAGTAGCAACATTACGTGTGAATTTTCAAACCTCGTGACCGGCACATTAACTTTATCAATTGTTACAGGATAAGTGTACTCGAGAGTTCATCATACTAAACTTTACCAGATGTGGAAAGGGTTGCAATTTAATATGTAGTTTGCTTATTGTTTGATCATAAGACACTAAGAGTTTTATATTATGACCTAAATTTCATCTGTTATTTTGTTTAAACATACATGCAACTTAAAAGCCATTCATATTTAACCGCTCAACGAGGATGGATAAAAACTTAAATAAAAAAGCACTTTTTTTATTCTTACTGAATTCAATATTTATGATTCCTAAATATAGCTGGAAAGGCTTGCACGACGAAACATACACAATGCTACGCCAAAATGATTAACAACTGGACCCACACGCATTACAAAAGTAAACATAAATCGTTTAATTAGTAATTACTACGGGAACAGAATTTACAAGCTAATTTATAATGTTTAACTGTTACACTGAACTGTGGGTATCCTCAATTATCTCACAATCCAACTCAATTAAAATTTAGTTACGATAAATGGCAAAAACAAAAAAAAAAACACCCAAAAAGCACTTGGGTGGGTATTAACACAATTCGAAATCTCACAATTTGGTAAAACTGTATTACGGTAAGTGGCATTGTGTATAATGTTTACATTTTTACGTGCATAGCAGTTAAAATTTCATTAATTAAATTTTACGTTAACAAAAAAATAATTAAAAAAAAATAAAAATGTTAAAGTATTTAAGTTGCATTTGACACAAGTTTCGACAATGCATTTAAACTTAAGATAATGCTATAGCACAAAGCTACTTGGAATGTTTTTTGGTTAATATAAAAAGCATTAGTCCTTGTTAATTTCTAAATCTTAATACATATTTATATGTTTATATATACATTTTAATATACCTGTTATACATATTTATCTGTTTTATAGGTATATATTTCTATATACATGCAATACATTCTTCATTATGTTTATATGTATTTGCCACAAAATAACATGCATACGTACAATGTACTTTTATTATGATTTATCTTGTGTACAATTTAACCAAAATCAAAAGTAATAAATACAATTATTGTCTGTAATTAGCTGAATTCATCAAGAAAGAAAGTATACCAATAACAAACAGAATGCGTATGGTATTATCAATAAACAAATAGATATGCAAAAGTAAAATACATGTTCATGTTAAAATTAAATTAAAAAATCAAAAATACATTTTGCCTACATACATACATATGTACAACTTATGTTGAATTGAGTTGGAATTTTTAAACAATGCGAATGAACATTAATTTTGTTAAGTAAACTTGGATCCTACTAGCTGCTTGAGAATTGCCTAAGTTGGTATGTCGTCATTGAAAGGGTGAATGAGGAATAGTGATGTATATGAGGCATGTAGGTGTTTAGGTGGTCGAGTTATATGAAATAATGGAAGGGTTTGCCACGTCGTTGCGAAATTCTTGAATTGTAGCTCGTTATCGTTGGTAAGGGTACCTAAGCGTTGGCATGTGTGTATTTAAAATATTTTGGACTTGCTATTCGCTATACGCATACTTGCATATTTTATATATGAATAGAACAATTTATGCGTTTGTGTGCCTGTTGGTTGTCTGCCTGCCTGTCTCTTGCAAATTTTGACAAGATTTGAAGGTTTAGTGATTTCTGTATTTCGGGCGCTAAACACACACACACACACAAACACACACACACACACACAAACAAACATACACACACACACACACAAATGTGTGTCATGGGCGCAAAAGAAAATTCATTATTAGCACTCGTCTGACGCACGCCCTTCCTTTTTATGATTTCGGGTTTGAATTGAATAACTTGGCAGGAGGCGAGCAGCAGCGAACAGACTCAGTCCAGAGGCAGCTCCACCTATAATAGAGTTGAAGTTTTTGTACTCTTCAAAATTCAAATATTTGCTTGTGTCACAAAATATTCGATATTCATTTTTTATACCCTGAACCCATTGAAAATTGGTAAAAAGGGTATATTGTATTTGTGCAAAATGCAAATGTATGTAACAGGCAGAAGGAAGCATCTCCGACCCCATAAAGTATATATATTCTTGATCTGCATCAATAGCCGAGTCGATCTAGCCATGTCCGTCTGTCTGCCCGACCGTCCGTCCGTTCGTATGTATGAACGCAAGGATCTCAGAACCTATAAGAGCTAGAGTCTTGAAATTAGATATATGTGCTCCTAGTTCCCGCGCAGATCGTTTTCGATAATCGATAACTTACTCCGTTTCCAAGCAATCGATAAGAATCGATATCGACATCCTGTTTTTTTTTTTTTTAGCAATTTTGGTAAATAATAAGAGCTAGAGCCACCAAACATGATATGTTGCTTCTAGAATATTATAGATATTTCAAGTATCTTTCATTTCATACCTATCGCCAACCCCCTCGCTATCACCCCAGAGCTATAAATTAAGTTAATAACCCAACTTTTATTGCCAACCAATTTAAGCCACAATTTAAATGCAATTGAGTTTTTCAGAATACACAAATATTCTATGGTACAATAAGATATAGCACAGAAAATTTCATAAGAATCGTTGAAGAAAAAACAAAAGTTATATGCAACTGCGCAATTGAATGGGGAAGCAGCTTTAAGAATTTCTGTATACATGTACACACACACATTCATGCGCGCCTGTTTCGCATTCTAACAGCATGGTAATTGCGACGTTTTTCTGTAATGCTATTTTAGTTCCTATTTTTATCATAAGTACTTAATTATTGGTGTGGCTGCTGAGTAGAGGCATAGCAAGTGGTGCGGTCTGTCGCGAGTTCAAGCCCTACCGGGGAAAGTATTATATATTTTTTTTTTGCAGGTGTGGCTGTTGAGTAGAGTCGACAGCAAGTAGTACGGTCAGTTGCGAGTTCAAACCCTGCCAAGGGAACATTTTTTTTTAAATTTATTTGGTGTTGAAATAAGAGGGTTCAGGGTATTCCCTAGTCGGGAGCTCCTGACTAGAACCTCTTACTTGTTTATGTATATATTTATGGGAAGGAAGCAACCCCAAACTTAATTGCGTCTCCCGACCTGTCTGTAAAATTAACAAAAATATAGTCAAGTGCATACCTAAATAATATACTGGTGCCAATTAAACAAAAAAAAAAAAAAGAAAAAAAAACATATCTTCTTATCGCCCCTTATCACCCCAGAGAGCTCGTTAGGCGGCGTTAGGTATTTAAAAGCGATTTACAAAACCAAACCATAAATATTTGTTTCAGCATCATATACAAATTATTAATTAATGTATGTCCTGCGATTTAACACAATGTTATCTTGGGTAAGTTGCGTTGATCCCGCGCTGCCCTTGATCCAAATATGTTCTCCTTGATCCGGTAATATTACTGAAGATTATGTTTTGGAAGTTGACTTCTATTGCTGGCCTTGGGCTCGGACAATAATGAATGATAGGTTTCATCGGCAATGCCGGACCAGTATATTTATTTCAGCGACTTATGTGTTGCGCGAATCATATAAAACTGAACTATTGGGGTTTACAATAAGTACGATTGTGCCCTAAGCGACAATGCATCACGCCACAAAGTCATGGTCGGCAAGCCGACTCAGCATTCTATATGAATATGAAGTGTCAGCATACCACTGTTGGTCGTTCTTAGCGCAGAGCGCTGAACTCGAATGTGGCGCATCAGCATTATTCATGCAAAGCTACTTAATAACTAGGGCACTACATTGTGCAATATTTAACTTAGTTGTTAACTTACATACATATATGTTTCAGGACGAGTGACTTGCATGTAAACCTAATAAAATTAAAATTAATTAAATTTAAAATATTATTGTACGTTTTGTCTGCAACGGCAACTAACAACAGCCTTTGGTGATGTCCCTTAATTGTCTCTTTTGTTTGCATAATATGCAAAAAATCCTGTAAAAAGATACGTTTTCTAAATTTATTGTTTATTTTCATAGTTATAGTGAAAAGAATGTCCGGCTTATTGGTTGTTGATGGGGATAGGAGAAATGACAGCCGACGTAGGCTGATGTAGGCCAACTAAGTAGCTAATATTGACATGGATCCAGATAAGCTAGACATTCTGACCGATAAATGCCTGTCATAAAACCCTTTAAATTAACATTTTTACAATGTCAATAATCATAAAAATATCGCTTGCAATTTTTTCCGTATCAAGTGCAAACGAGCGACAAGTGCGGTTCACCTGTTTTCATTGACTGTTCACTCATTTGTGCCTTTAGCGGACGCAAGCCCACCGAGCAGCAATGTCAAAAACAGAAAGACCGTGCCCGTCCCCCAAATTTACGCAGCCATTGAAGAGAATATCTCTGGCTAACGACAAACCCTTGATCAGATCATTTGCACACATTTGTATGTGTGTAGATGTGTCTGTGTGTAGAGCTCGAAATTCAGAAAACCCAAAAACTTCAAATCTTGTCAAAATTTGCTTCGGGCAGGCAGACAACCAACAGGCACGCAAACACATAAATGTTTTCATTCATATAGAAAAGAGTGTAAGTGTGTGTGCTTGGCAGGCCCAAAAAGTTTTCATGCACACATGCCAACGTTCAGTTACCCTTACCAACAACAAGCATGGAAAATAGCAATTTTGCACGTGAACAGGCTAAACCCTTAAATAATTCA